AAGATTATATATATACAATAATTTTTAAATTTCTATTTTTTTTATTCTAAATTTCTATAGTAATAATAATTATTAATTTTTTTTGTGTTGGAAATAGTCACCACGTAACACCTATCAATCTGCTATGGGTAAACAAGCTATGGGTATATATGTGACAAATTATCAATTGAGAATGGATACTTTGGCAAATATTTTATATTATCCACAAAAGCCTTTGGTAACGACTAGATCCATGGAATTCTTAAGATTTCGTGAATTGCCAGCTGGACAAAATGCCATGGTTGCAATCCTTTGTTATAGTGGATACAATCAAGAAGATTCAATCATTATGAATCAAAGTAGTATTGACAGAGGATTGTTTAGAAGTATTTTTTATAGGAGTTATATGGATCAAGAAAAGAAAGTGGTTAGTGCATATACACCTTCTCAAAACACTTTATTTTATTTTATTCAGAGATGACTATGATTATAATTGTTACGATATTGAATTTATTTTTTCTCTAAAATTATAGGGAATAATATCATTAGAAGAGTTTCAAAAACCCACAAAAGAAACTACCCTTAGATTGAAACATGATTTACATTGGAATGTATTTTTTTTAAGATTTGCAATTGCCATTAATCCACAGATATCACAAGCATGGATACGATAAGCATCCGATGCATCGAATAGACGTTCCTTTATTATAATTATAATAATTATTTAACTACATATAAATATTATTATTACTACAATAATAATATAATAATAATAGATAACTACCTTCAAGAACATAGCTGTACCATGAGATATCATACAATCACGTTCCATTTCACCAAAACGTAAACCTCCGTCACGACTACGTCCTTCTACAGGTTGTCTTGTAAGAATTTGTACAGGCCCCCTTGCTCTTGAACTAAAAGAAAATCAAATTAAAAAAGGTCAATGCAAATTTATCTCACTTTTTTACTTACTGAATCTTATCATCCACCATATGTTTTAGCCGTTGATAATATGTTGGACCTATGAATATTTGTGCTGCCAATTTACGACCTGTATGAGCATTATACATGACTTCAAATCCACGACCTTGATATCCATGACTCCTTAAACTTTGTGATATGGCTTCGACTGTTACATCAGTAAATGGTGTTGCATCACCTTCTTGTCCGATAAGTGTTGAAACCTACATACATATATTATCATATATATATACACACACACACATACACACCCTCCTAAAATAATTGATACTTCTTTCTTTATTCATACCTTGCCCAACAAACATTCAACTAAATGCCCGATTGTCATACGACTAGGAATGGCATGTGGGTTTATAATAATATCAGGTGTAATACCTTCAGCTGTAAATGGCATATCTTCTTGTCGATATGTTATACCA